CCCACACGGGAGTGAGCGCTGCCCGCCGCGGCGCCTTATCCCGGGCCGGCTCGCTCCTCCCCCTGCCGCGGGGCCGCCGCCGCTTAACCCTTTGCGGCGCGGGAGCCTCCCCCCGCCTCCCGCAGCCTGCTGGGCCCGCCCCGGGGCAGCGCGGGGCGGGGACACCCCGCTCGGGACAGTCCCCTGGTACCGGCCCCCTCCCACGCCGCAGCGGCAGTGATGGGCTGGGGCTGGACGGGAGCCACGGAAAGGCCCCGGGACCGGCCCCTGCGCTGAGCCCGTCAGCCCCGGGCCTCGCCCTGGGGCCGGCTGGGCCCCTGGAGGTCACAGAGCCGGGGCTTGCCTGGCAGTCACCCCCCTGCCCCACCTGAGCACCCTCCGCCTGCTACAGCCCAGCTGCTCGCTGCTGGCAGGGGAGGATGGATTGCATGGGGCACGGGCACCAGTTGGGGGGTCAGCCCCCCAAGCCTGCTTTCGTCCATGGGCCAGCAGGAGCCAGAGCTGACGGGCACATCTGGGGAGCGGAGCAGGGGGAAGAAGGAGAAGCCACTGCTGAAGACAGCCAGGGAAAGGTGCCAGCTGGTCCCCGGCGTTGCCAGGGACTCCTCTGCCAGCAGGCACTGCTCTCCCAGGAAACCAACCAGCAGCCCTGGCACTGGGCCCCCTCCCTCCCTCCCTCAGCTTCACTTGCCGCTCTGGGTCAAGGGGAGCACTGCTTTCCCATCTGAGTGCAGAGGGATTCATGCCCTGGCTGCCATTCACGCTCCTGGCTCCCGCCAGCCCAGTGGGACTTGCAGTCCCAGCCCTCTGCACCCCCCACCTGGTCTGCCCATACTAAGCCAGTGAGATCTGCATCATGCTGAGAGTCAGGCCACCAGCATCCCCAGCTCAGCAGGCTCTGCTCTCCGGCCCTGCCACCAGTATTCACCTCTGAGCCCCCTCAGTCAGTCTGGTATGGTGCCTTCCCTGAGGCAGAGGATTAAGATTCACACCCCCAGTGTCCCAGCTCAGTGGGATGGGTGCCTGGGGGCTCAAGGGCCAGGACTGGGGGCCTGAGAGTGCTTCAGCAACCATCCTGGGGTCCTTAATTCTGGGATTCACACTCCTTGTTCTCCAGGCCCATGCAATCTGGGGCCTGGTTCGGTAGTGCCCTGTTCACATTCCCAGCCCTGTCCTCAGGGCAGAAGTAGCCACATTCTGGGGCATGAGTCCCCCGTTCCCCATTCACACGCCCAGTCCAGAAGGATTCCCACCCTGGTGCCCCCAGTCACCTCTGCCCCCAGCTCAGCAGCAGCTCAGGCTAGGTGACTGGACAGTCATGATCCTGCACCTGTGTGTGACCTGGTGG